GTTTGATTAAAAATAATACAATTGAATTCATATATTATTTTAATGCTAAATAATTAAAATATGCTAAATTAAATTTATATATTTAAAAATTCCCATAATCATTACTTGTCAATTATATAATCAATTAAAGTTAAATTTTATTTGTATTCAAAGATTTACTAGTTTTGATAAAAATAAAAGTTATTCAACAGTAAGATGTTTAAATTTTATTGTAATAAAATATATTTTTAACCACAATTCAGTATGAATAATGTAGTATAAATGTGGTTTGTACAAAATAGTCTATGGCAGGATTTCTCAAAAGTTACTCAAAAGTAGGCTTTGCCTATATACTCCCATAGATAATACATTACAGTTTACCCACATTTACCCGTTCTGATAAACGTTGGTCTATGGCATAAAGATAACATGGGTAATGCTAAATATGTAGGTAATGTTAGGGCTATGGTACTAATGACAATCCTATGGCAATGCTATGTCTATGACAATACTATGGGACTAATGCTAATTATATGGAAAGTGTTGTCTATGGACAATTTTATCATTATGCAAATATACAAAAAGTCTATGGATAGTCTGTAAGAATCATAGTAAATCTATAAAAAATGTTAATCTATTCATTAAGTAATACCCCAATTGTAGTTAACGTATAGCATCGCTGTGTGTGAGTAATACCCCAATTGTGGTTAACGTATAGCATCGCTGTGTGTGAGTAATACCCCAATTGNTGTGTGAGTAATACCCCAATTGTGGTTAACGTATAGCATCGCTGTGTGTGAGTAATACCCCAATTGTGGTTAACGTATAGCATCGCTGTGTGTGAGTTGTTTCCTATTTGAGTTATCGCTTTGTTCATAGTATTAATAATGGTGTGTAGTGTCACAGCATTTATGTTGGGGAAAATCACTCCCATATTAAAGCAAAACTTCGTTATAATTATTATTTTTTATATACGACAATTCTTACTTTATTTATTGCAAAACAACTTGCTCAAACAATAACTCGAATTAGGTCGGACATTATAAATTATTTCATTATATAACACGTGATTTAACACTTTAGTCTGAAGTTCATTGCGTAGCATTGTGCGAAAAATATGGCCGTGAATTGTCATCATGGATAGTTTATCAACGCATTCATAAACATTTACCGGTGTGATGACAGCCTCGTCCGGCAGGTTATCGATAATCGTCTGTTTTTTATGACGATAACTATTTAATAACTGTTCGAACCGGTCTATTGTTGGGGGACTGTTGGCGTCCGTACCGTCCGCTTGACTGACCATTAAGTATCGGATATAGTCATCGAAAGCGTCGGGAAATGCTGTCAACGTATTGTTGGCCAGAAAACAGGCAAACATTGCCATAGAGTTAATGATTGTCTCTCTTTCGGCAGCCAATTCAGCGATCCGACGGTTAAGATGTTGGATCATTGTGTCCGCACTTTCAGTTGTAATTGATTTAACCCGAGTGTTATTGTCATCGACGGGCATTGTCTTGAGTACAGTCTTAGTCTCATATGTTTGATGTAAATGAAATTTAATACTATGGTTGCAATTTCGACAAATAGATGACATGTTTGTCTTAGAGAGAACTTTACCAGGTAGAGTCAGGTATAATGACATTAAGTTACTTGGTTTTATCTTATTATTTTTACTATCTTTAGTGCCATATCTATTGAAAGCGATACATCTTAGTAAACCCTTATTGCCCATAATACTACCATCGTTATAATCAAGATAGCATGGAGAATGACATGGTCTAAAGTAGTCTATAGTGGTTATACCATTTATCGTTGTCTGATGCACACATTTGACATCATTGCATACTGTTCTGGGTTTGGCTAATCGTATGTATTGTAATTCAATGGCCTGGTTGTTTTGGTTAGTAGCAATTCTCGGCTCGGCTATAATCTGTTGTTTATATGATTCGCATTGTTTAATATTATCGATGATATTCTTCGTGATGTCGGCCAACGGTTTGGTCAGTAATTGTATGATTTGTTTGGCGTTATTGAGTGATAGTGTGTCCATCACTTTGTGTGGTGTGAGTTTTGTGATGTAAGCAAATACACGCCGGCATTCATCTGCAGATCTAATGTTATAATCATAATTATAAAATATATATTTCAACAATTTTTCATATTATTTAGAAATATCACAAACCTGTTCCAACTTTCAATATAATTTGATTTAAATCTCGGGTCAAATTCAATATTATTTGGCGGAACCGAAGCCACGAGATATCGAAAGGACTCGGAATCGAAACAATAGATTGTATTCTCGTCATACGGGATTTTAATATTTAACTGTCCATTTCTTGTTTGCTGCAGAATATCCTTTAATGCGGGTCCGGAATCTCCGGGCATGAAATGAGTGCTCCGGGAGTTTGTGAATAGGAATAATATATTATTTGCGATGCTTTTATTCAAATGAGTGAACAATTTATGCAAACAATACTTGAAGAGAACATCAAGTCTGGCTTCATTGGGCTTTAAAAGTACGCAAAACGCATTGATTTCCCGATAATTACTTATAAAATCCAATATATTTTGCATATTTCTATTATCTCTATCCACACCATCCGTGTCTCCAATTCCCGGCGTATCAATAATATTGAGCACAATATTATTGTCTTCAAATTTATAGCACTTGGGGTATTGTGTAGCAGATTTAGTTGGATCATCAGTGTTTTCATTTATATTGTGTTCCCCAAGTGTTACTTTCACAGGTGTCCATGTTTTTGGATCAGTTAATGTAAAATGAATAGGGATTAAACATATGGGCTGACCATTGGCCAGTTCAAGACTTTCATACGACAAATAGTTGACCAACGCGTTAATGAATGTGGACTTTCCCACACCTGACTCTCCCAACAATACTATTGTGATCTCTTTTTTCTTAAGGGATTCAAAATTAAAAATAAGAATTATATATTATAAAACGATGTGTATTATAATATAAAGTTTTATCAATTGTTATAATAATTTTATATATTTGTTATAATTACCCTTGAAATTTCTTTACTATTCATTCCTAGCATTGAATTTGATTGCAATTGCTTTATTGCAGTTGCTATTATTAGTTCTTCAGGCTTTAATCTGTGTAATTGTGAACACATATACAGATATATTTAATCTTATAATTAATTAAATAATATCAATCTAATTATATAATAAGAATAATGTTAAGTTTGTGGAAGTAATGTTGTTTTTATGTGATAACGTTTGTTTTAAAGATTTTGTAATCCTTGTTTATTAAATACACGTACTTGGGTTTAGGTGGAAGCATAGGACAAATAGATTTATCAGATATGCTAATTGATGATTGACGATTAGATGATCTATTTGATGTATCATTTTTAATGATGGTATTATTACAATCAGAGTTCACAATATCATTATTTAATTTACACATTAAAAAGTCGTGGAAAAATGAGTCGTTTAACTTAAATGTAGTTATCGTATTATTCAGTTTATTATGATTAATGATAACAGTCTTATCAATAGACCAGAGATTATACTTTTGTAATACTCGGCCACTTGTCGACCGTTTTATCGGAAGCGCTTCAATCATTGATATTATAATAGCGTATAATTCATTAAATTGAGGTAAAAATGTTGACACTTGGTATTCATTTTGGTCTCTAAAAATATACATACTTTGAACAAATTAATAAAAATATAAAAAATTACTTACATTGAGTTAATTTCAAATAGTTTTAAGCAAAATATGCCGAGACTGTAAATATCTACTTTAATATCGTACTTTTTAGATAGCCCCACATCGGGTGCCATGTATTGTGGTGTTCCCACACACTGTGTGTGGCTTTGGGAAGGCCTGTCGTGTTCAATAGCCAAACCAAAGTCACCCAATTTCATGAATGTATTATGACTTTTGTTGTGTGAAATTAAAATATTCTCGGGTTTTATATCCCGATGAATGACCGGAGGGTTTTGCTCGTGAATGTATTGGAGACACTGTAAGAGTTCATAAAATATTTCACATGATATGAAATACTCGAAAATATTCATCGCTTTTGCCGATTGTCTGCCAAACACTTGTTGTTTATCTTTAAGCACAGACCCGAGTGTTTGCGAGCAGTACTCCATCTGAATGTACAAATGTTTCTCTTCAATCCACGAGTAATAGTATTTGACCACAAAATGTGAGTCAAGTTTTGCCAATGTTTTCACTTCTTTCAGAACTCGGTTTTTGTTATCTTCATCAAAATCTATGAAAATAATGTTATAAAATTAAATTCATGTACAAACTTAATATGAATGATATTTACCATCAATAAGCACTTTTTTGACAGCATAATCCTTTTCATCTAATTTATGTTTTACTTTAAATACAGCCCCAAAAGCACCCGAACCTAAGAGATCCGCCGTTAGAATGAAGTCTGTCTGAAGGCGACTATTATTTGCCATATTATAATATATCGTATAATATGCAACGTGATGTTAATAGATGTAAAATGTGAATTAATAGGTTGCTGTTTGTGTTTTCATCAAATAGATAAAATCAAATCTACTGATAAGATATATTGACAAAGCGAAAATATATAATACTAGCATTTATATTTAACAATTTCTATATTACAACTTCTATATTATATTAATAATTATTAATTATACATCACATATTTTTACAATATTATGTTAATAGTTAAACCTTTTAACCATTTTTACATTTTTACAGACATTTCATGAACACTTTATTACATTAACAATTATTTTAAATTTATTAAAAATATAAAAATATAACAAAAATAATCACGTAATTAACAAAATAAAGTGCACATATAAGTTTAAAAATTGGAAACACAGCTTTAATGGCAAAAAATTTATCAACTTTTTGATAATAACTATGAATTTGTTTTATTATTACATACCTTATATAAATTATTTCATGTTTAATAACTAGAAAAATTATATTTTTATACTATTAATTAGACTCTATGTAGCATAAATGGTATGATTAATAGACTATTTAAACATTTATTTATCTGTGATAAGAGATATTATTTTATCACTAAGTTATTGAAACTTGTTAGGAATAATTGAAGATTTATTGAAAAACCATACATAAAATTTTAAACAACCAACGTTTTTAAATTCCATGCTTTTTTGTAGATTTTAAATTAACATAAATTAACTATGTTTTTGTCATAAACAAATAATATTTATATAATTGAATACAAACTAATATTTGACCAATAAAATTTTAAAATGACACTGATTAAAGACTAATCTAAATTATTAGAGTATAAATTATATTAAATTTAAAAAATTTCACATATTTAGCGTACATGAAATGTATATTATTTTTTCAAATAATAGGCAAAAATATTGTACATTCTAATTGGAGAAAACTAATAAAACAGTAAATGATAAACATTTAACTCGTCTAATTATTTTAGATATCTATACTTGTTATTATGATGTATTACTTTATGAAAACCAATACAATATTAATTTCAATATATTTAAAAACAAATTCTCTTATTAATTAGTAAATTAATTTTAACTAAATTAATTTAAAAATTAATTAATATATATTTTTATCTAGATAACTATTATAATTATTACTTGATTTATTGATTAAATAATTTGTTTAAGCTATAACTCGTATTTGGTCTGGAATTATAATTTATCTCATTGTACACCACGTGATTTTTAACTTTAGTTTGGAGTTCATTAGTTAACATTGTGCGAAAAATAGGGCCATGAATTGTCATCATGGACAGTTTTTCAACGCATTCATTAACATTCTCCGCTGTGATGACAGCCCTGTCCGGCAGGTTATCAATAATTGTCTGTTTTTCATGACGATAACTATTTAACAACTGCTCGTAACGATCGATTGTGGCCCGACTGTCGGGCTCTTCGCTGTCAACTGCGCTGTCGATCAAGTGCTGGACGTAGTCGTCGAAGGCGTCCGAACAGGCGGTCAGCGTATTGTTGGCCAAAAAACAGGCAAACATTGCCATAGAGTTAACGATTGTGTGGTTTTCGTCATTCAAATCGGCGATACGTCGGTCCAGACGCTGAATCTCTGGCTCCGGACCCTCGGCTGTAACCGATTTTACCCGAGTGTTACTGTCGTCTACGGGCACTGTTTTTAGGACAGCTTTAGTCTCATATGTCATATGCATGTGATGTTTAATACTGTGGCTACACTTTAGACAAAAGTTTGACCCAGCTGTTTTAGCCAGGAAAATACCCGGAAGTTTCAAGTAGGATTCAGTAAATTTGTCGCTAGTAGTCTTAATTTTATTAGGATTATTATCTTTGCTGTTATGTTTGTTGAAAGCCCTACATTTGAGTAAACCCTTATCACCCATAATACTGCCATCGCTATACTTAAGGTAGCATGGTAAATGGCATGGTCTGGGATAAATGGTCGTGGTTATGCCATTAACCTCGGTTTGTTCAACACATCCGACATCAGTGCACACTGTCTTAGGCTCATGTAATTGATAGTATACTAATTCAACGGATGGTATTTCTTGTTTAGTGGCGATTCCCGGTTGGGCTTTGAGTTGAATTTTATATGTTTCGCATTGTTTAACGTTATCAGCAATATTTTTTATGATGTCGGCCAACGGTTTGGTTATTATTTGTATGATTTGTTTGGCGTTATTGAGTGATAGGGTGTCCATCACTTGGTGTGTCGGCAGGTGTGATATGTGTGCAAATAAACGCTGGCATTCCTCTGCAGATCTATAATCATATGTTTGAATCCAAACCAAAAGGCACTTAGCAACTCATAAATTTATTCCCAACGTTTTTGAATATCTCCCTAACCAAATGACCTAGGTCAAATCTGTAAGTTGTAGAATAAACTTCAATATTTTTAGTTGTTGGCTCATTTTTTATTTATAGATTTTGATCACGTGATATACTTAATATCGGGACCTTCTAAAAGCACTATGTTACAGGTTAATATATCTTTAATATAAAAAAATAATTATTAAAATTGGGGTTGTAGTTTTATTTTTATGACTTGACAAACTAAGTCTATTTCAATGCTTATCCTATGTGCTACTAGAAAGTTTATGGCAATTCTAACAGCTAGGTGCCTTTTGGTTTGGATTCAAACATTATTTTTTTTAATAAATATTTAATAATAATTTATTTTATATTTATAGAAATATCACAAACCGATCCCAACTTTCAATATAAGTTGATTTAAATCTCGAATCAAATTTAACATTATTTGGCGGAACCGAAGCCACGAGATATCGAAAAGACTCGGAATCGAAACAATAGATTGAATTTTCGTTATAAGGGATGTCAACATTTGGCGGTCTTTCCTTAATTTGCTGTAAAATACTCATTAATGCGGGTCCGGAATCCCCGGGCATGTAGTGAGTGCTCCGGGAGTTTGTAAACAGAAATAGTATATTATTTGCGGCGCTTTTATTCAAATGAGTAAACAATTGAAACAAACAATACTTGAAAAGGACATCAAGTCTCGCCTCATTGGGCTTTAAAAGTACGCAAAACGCATTGATTTCCCGATAATTACTTATAAAATCCAATATATTTTGCATATTTCTATTATCTCTATCCACACCATCCGTGTCTCCAATTCCCGGCGTATCAATAATATTGACCACAATCTTATCATCTTCAAATTTATAGCATTTGGGGTATTGTGTGGCAGACTGTGTCGGGTCATCAGTGTTTTCATTCATATCGTGTTCACCCAGTGTCACTTTCACAGGTTCCCATGTCGATGGATTAGTTAATGTAAAACAAATAGGGATTATACATATGGGCTGACCATTGGCTGCATTCAGACTCTCATACGACAAATAGTTGACCAAAGCGTTAATGAATGTGGACTTTCCCACACCTGACTCTCCCAACAATACTATTGTTATCTCTTTTTTCTATAAAGATTTAAAATTATTAATACGAATTATAAATTTTACAAACTATTTGCACTATAATATAAAGTTGTATAAATTGTTACGAAAATTTTATTTATTTGTTAAAATTACCCTTGATACTTTTTCACAATTCATTGCTGGCACTACATTTGAACGCATATTCTTGTTTACAGTTGCATATATGGGTTCCTCGGGCTTTGGTCTGTTTAATTATAAACACATACAGTATAAACAGGTGTAAGCAAATAATTAATCAATTAAAAATTAGCATATTGAGCTCACTTGGAATTTGTTGATGATGTAGGGTCGGTGGTTCTACCATGCTGAACAGGTACCGTATCAGACATATTAAATATTTGTTGATTATTACTAAACTTTTCATTAATAATTATATTGATTAATTGATTAATTTCA